AGCTTCAGCAGGTCAGTCTGGTGTGGTTTAACTGAAAAATATCATATGATTATTAATTTTCACAGTAACATTGATCTTTAATAATATCCCCATCTATGCTGTTGTCTCTGAWGAATCTATAACTTGAAGTAAATTAACCAAGTCAGTCTCACATAAAATATAGTTCAGTAACCACCACTTAATTTATAAAATTATCAACTTTCAGAATATAAATTGTGCTGAATATTTTAAAAGCTGAACTCAACAGACTGAAATATTCCCGTTTAAACTCATCATTACTCGTCATACTCACAACGAGCTAGCTGCAGCTGCTGTAATGCTAACTGCATAACTAATTAATTAACACGATTAATCAACTAAAACTGACTACAACATATCGCTGTGGTACAGAACAGTTAGATAATGCCACACAATGGCAAAAAATGTATTTTTGTCAACTTACCGGAGAAAATACCTCAAACACCAAGAATGAACTGCGCTCCATGGAGCCTCTTGCTGTGTTTGGAACTATTTGAGGCTCCATGAACCACGTGACTTCCGCTTTCCATTCTTTCTATGGAAGTCAATGGGGGTGTCGCAACTCTCTCTCTCTATAGGGCTCTGGTTGCTAGGTAAGGGGCTGAACACAGGTTCCGGTGGGTTGTCGTACGGCTTTTGACATCACAAAATGACGGAAGTATAAAACTTGTTGTTAACATGCATTAAAAATACATTTACTTACAGCATATGCACTTGGTTGCATTTTTGCTGTTTTTTAAGAAGTACATACACAAAGTTGAGTAAAAAACCCTTTAAAAGTGAATTTTGCATAATAGGTCCCCTTTAATAGATTTATAATAAAAATACTGTGTATCTGAGCTCTTTGGGAAATTTGGTTATGTTTTGGACAGTCATGCTCCTCCTCCCTGTTGTTAAAACCTGTTATGCAACCTGCAGTTTGTGGTATAAAGAAACTTAACTTTTATTGATTTCTTTTTTGAACTCATTTAATTATTCTCAGTCATCTTCCTGTTCTTCTTTTGGTTTTTCAGAGGTTGCCATAAGTCATCCTCTTCCATTTCACTCTGTCCTCACTCCAAATATCCACCGTCCCTCCTCTGGACATGTCCAAACCATCTCAGTCTGGTTTATCTAACTTTATCTCCCAGTCATTCAGCCTATGTTCTACCTTTAATGATTTTTTTCTCAGTCATTGGTTATTTTTTTTAATTAATGTTTTGTGCTTTTCTTTCAGTGGTGTCAACTTGAAAGTCTCCATTTTGCCACTAGGAGATGCAAGCATCACTGTGTTGCCAAAACAGAAAGGTAGAATATGATTTATACCCTTAAAATGTTTGGAAATTTGACTACTATGTGCTAGAAGGAAAAAAAATACAAATAAAGTAAATATTAATTAAACTAAATAAACATTTGGTAACCTACATAGCAGTCAGGTGTGGGCCAGATCTGGGGCCTCATGCATAAAGGAGTGCACAGCTTTCACACTAAAAGTTGACGTATGGACAAATTTAGAAAAGTGCTCCGCACCAAAAAATTCAGAAGTATAAAACCATGCGCGCATGTTCCTGTGCACCTTTCCTTTATACATCCCAATGAACGTGGAACTGAGCGCACCTGAGACACCTCCCCTGACACGCTTCCATTTAAATCTGTAAAAAATATGTAAATGTGTCCAGCGTGTGAGATTCTCCGCAGATTGTCCTCTCTGTGGGATCAGAAATGAATAAATGAAATGAATGAAGAAATGATTTTTAGATGTAGGAAAAATTTATATCAGGGGTGCCCAACCAGTCACTCGTGTGCGACTAGTCACCCACCAGCTGATTCCCAGGTGCCCGCAGAGCGCAACCTTGCTGCGGAACCTCTAGCGCCGGCTCTGAGGGACAGATCCCAGAGTGGCCGGTCTTGTTTGAAAGCTCTGGTCTGCCCTACAAGTTGAAAGTTGAATGAAGTCCCTGCGACGTTCCCCCGCGGAGCAATAAGCAAAATACCTCCAAAATACGCACCGTCGGACCTCCCACCGGGATATTTTTAGCCCCTTTCCCGGACTAGGAGCATTAGAACTTGGTGTGGATGGTCGGGTTTTAAAGCCCTGACTCTCCCCTACAAGGAGAAAGTTGATTGGAGTCCCTGCAACGTTCCCCCGAGGAGATATAAGCGAAAAACCTCAAATTACGCCCCGTTGGACCTTCGCCGGGGGTGGTTTTAGTCCCCCTCCCCGGGCTAGGAGCATCAGATCCTAGAGTGGCTGGTCGGGTTTTAAAGCCCTGGTTCTGCCCTACAAGCTGATACTTAAATGGAGTCTCAGTGACGTTCCCCCGTGGAGCTATAAGCAACTTACCCACGACTTAGTGCATTTTACGAGCAATTTTGGGAGGAAATTTCAACTTTCGTTTGCTTCTCCTGCGGGCTCTGAGCATCAGATCCACGAAAATGAGATGACTTTGGAAAGGTGGGGCCCTCCTCTACAAATTGGAGGTAGTTGCAAGTTCCTGGGGCCTTCCCCCACGGAGCTAATAACCAACGACCGGCCGAAAAAGGTGCTTTGGCCGGCGATATAGTAATCAACTTTTTTCCAGAGCCTCTAGCGCCGGCTCTGAGCATTGGATCCGGGTGGGAATGGCTCATTGTAAAGCTCTGGATCTCCACTACAACCTGGAGGTGGTTGCAAGTTTCTGGGACGTTCCCACGCAGAGATATAAGTGATCAAAAGTCATCAGGTGAGCTCCGGCGGGTGAAACGGCTGATTTCCAGCACGGGGCTGCTTGTGCTGAAAAAAAGAAACAGATTTATTTTTCAAAGTCAGTTTTTCACCATATGATTCATACATTTATAAATGT